CCCACCATGAGGTGAGGTGATGAACCTCCCCCCAGTGAGGTGAGGAGGTGACCTCCCACAGTGAGGTGGGAGAGTGACCTCCCCCACAGTGAGGGAGGTGGTGAGTGCTCCCCAAGAGGTGAGGGAGTGACCTCCCACCAGTGGTGAGGGGTGACTCCCCACGTGAGGTAGGGAGTGACTCCCACCACCAGTGAGGGGTGATAAGGAGGTGAATGACCTCCAATGAGGTGAGGAGAGTGACCTCCCACAGTGAGGTGAGGAGGGACTCCCACGTGAGGAGGAGTGACCTCCCCACCAGTGGGTGGAGGAGATTGACTCCCACCGGAGGTGAGAATGACTCCCCAGTGGGGAGGAGTGCCTCCCCACCATGAGGGAGAATGACTCCCAAGTGATGAGAGGACCCCCACGGTGAGGAATGCCTCCACAGTGAGGGAGAAGTGACTCCCCACAGTGGGTGAGGAGAGTGACCCCCCCACAGTGTGAGAGAGTGACCTCCCCCCCAGTGGGTGAGAAGTACTCCCCACAGTGAGGAGGAATGATCCCCCACCGGTGAGGAGAGTGCCTCCCACCAGTGAGGTGAGGAGGTGACTCCCACCGTGAGGTAGGCAGGTGACCTTTCCCCCACCAGTGAAGGAAGTGACTCCTCACCAGTGAGGTGAGGAAGTGTACATCCCACCGATGAGGTGAAGAGAGAGTGACCCCCCCCCACCAGTGAGGTGAGGAGAGTGACCTCCCCCACCAGTGAGGTGAGGAGAGTGACCTCCCTCACCAGTGAGGTGAGGACAGTGACCTCCCTCACCAGTGAGGTGAGGAGAGTGACCTCCCCCACCAGTGAGGTGAGGAGAGTGACCTCCCCCCACCAGTGAGGTGAGGAGAGTGACCTCCCTCCCACCAGTGAGGAGAGTGACCTCCCCACCAGTGAGGTGAGGAGAGTGACCTCCCCCACCAGTGAGGTGAGGAGAGTGACCTCCCCCACCAGTGAGGTGAGGAGAGTGACCTCCCCCACCAGTGAGGTGAGGAGGTTGACTCCTACAGTGAGGTGAGGAGAGTGACCTCCCCCACCAGTGAGGTGAGGGAGGTGACCTGCCCCCACCAGTGAGGTGAGGAGAGTGACCTCCTCCCACCAGTGAGGTGAGGAGAATGACCTCCTCCCATCAGTGAGGTGAGGAGAGTGACCTCCCATCAGTGAGGTCCCCATCAGTAAGGTGAGGAGAGTGACCTCCTCCCATCAGTGAGGTGAGAGAGTGACCTCCACAACCAGTGAGGTGAGGAGAGTGACCTCCCCCACCAGTGAGGTGAGGAGAGTGACCTCCCCATCAGTGAGGTGAGGAGAGTGACCTCCCCACCAGTGAGGTGAGTGACCTCCCCCACCAGTGAGGTGAGGAGAGTGACCTCTCCCACCAGTGAGGTGAGAATGACCTCCCCCACCAGTGAGGTGAGAGTGACCTTCCCCATCAGTGAGGTGAGGAGAGTGACCTCCCCCACCAGTGAGGTGAGGAGAGTGACCTCCCTCAAGTGAGGAGAGGACCTCCCTCACAGTGAGGTGAGAGGAGTGACCTCCCTCACCAGTGAGGTGAGGAGATGACCTCCCTCACAGTGAGGTGGAGACGAGTGACCTCCCCCACCAGTGAGGTGAGGAGAGTGACCTTCCCCACCAGTGAGGTGAGGAGAGTGACCTCCCCACCAGTGAGGTGAGGAGAGTGACCTCCCCCCACCAGTGAGGTGAGGGAGTGACCTCCCCACCGTGAGGTGAGGAGGTGACCTCCCCACCAGTGAGGTGAGGAGAGTGACCTCCTCCCACCAGTGAGGTGAGAATTGACCTCCCCACCGTGAGGTGAGGAGAGTGGACTCCCCACCAGTGAGGTGAGGAGGGTGACCTCCCCACCAGTGAGGTGAGGAGAGTGACCTCCCCCACCGGGAGTGAGGAGAGTGACCCCTATCAGTGAGGTGAGGAGAGTGACCTCCCCACCAGTAGGTGAGGAGAGTGACCTGCCCCACCAGTGAGGTGAGGGAGAGTGACCTCCCACAGTGAGGTGAGGAGATGACCTTTCCCCCATCAGTGAGGTGAGGAGAGTGACCTCCTCCCTATCAGTAAGTGAGGAGAGTGACCTCCCACATCAGTGAGGTGAGGAGAGTGACCTCCCACACCAGTGAGGTGAGGAGAGTGACCTCCCCCACCAGTGAGGTGAGGAGAGTGACCTCCCCATCAGTGAGGTGAGGAGAGTGACCTCCCCCCACCAGTGAGGTGAGTGACCTCCCCCACCAGTGAGGTGAGGAGAGTGACCTCTCCCACCAGTGAGGTGAGTGACCTCCCCCACCAGTGAGGTGAGTGACCTCCCCATCAGTGAGGTGAGGAGAGTGACCTCCCCCACCAGTGAGGTGAGGAGAGTGACCTCCCCATCAGTGAGGTGAGGAGAGTGACCTCCCTCACCAGTGAGGTGAGGAGAGTGACCTCCCCCATCAGTGAGGTGAGGAGAGTGACCTCCCCCACCAGTGAGGTAAGGAGAGTGACCTCCCCCACCAGTGAGGTGAGGAGAGTGACCTCCCCCACCAGTGAGGTGAGGAGAGTGACCTCCCCCACCAGTGAGGTGAGTGACCTCCCCATCAGTGAGGTGAGGAGAGTGACCTCCCCCACCAGTGAGGTGAGGAGAGTGACCTCCCCATCAGTGAGGTGAGGAGAGTGACCTCCCTCACCAGTGAGGTGAGGAGAGTGACCTCCCCCATCAGTGAGGTGAGTGACCTCCCCCACCAGTGAGGTAAGGAGAGTGACCTCCCCCACCAGTGAGGTGAGTGACCTCCCCGCCAGTGAGGTGACCTCCCCATCAGTGAGGTGAGGAGAGTGGCCTACCCCACCAATGAGGTGAGGAGAGTGACCTCTCACATCAGTGAAATGAGAGCGACTCCCCCACAAGTGAGGTGAGGAGAGTGACCTCCCCCACCAGTGAGGTGAGGAGTGACCTCCCCCACCAGTGAGGTGAGGAGAGTGACCTCCTCCCACCAGTGAGGTGAGTGACCTCCCCCACCAGTGAGGTGAGGAGAGTGACCTCCCCATCAGTGAGGTGAGGAGAGTGACCCCCACCAGTGAGGAGAGTGACCTCCCCCACCGGTGAGGAGAGTGACCTCCCCACCAGTGAGGTGAGGAGAGTGACCTCCCCCACCAGTGAGGTGAGGAGAGTGACCTCCCCATCAGTGATGTGAGTGACCTCCCTCACCAGTGAGGTGAGGAGAGTGACCTCCCCACCAGTGAGGTGAGAAGAGTGACCTCCCCCACCAGTGATGTGAGGAGTGACCTCCCCCATCAGTGAGGTGAGTGACCTCCCTCACCAGTGAGGTGAGGAGAGTGACCTCCCACATCAGTGAGGTGAGGAGTGACCTCCCACATCAGTGAGGTGAGGAGAGTGACCTCCCACATCAGTGAGGTGAGGAGAGTGACTTCCCCCAAAAGTGAGGTGAGGAGAGTGACCTCCCTCACCAGTGAGGTGAGGAGAGTGACCTCCCCCACCAGTGAGGTGAGGAGAGTGACTTCCCCCACCAGTGAGGTGAGGAGTGACCTCCCCCACCAGTGAGGTGAGATTGACCTCCCCCACCAGTGAGGTGAGGAGAGTGACCTCCCCCACCAGTGAGGTGAGGAGTGACCTCCCCTACCAGTGAGGGGAGAAGAGTGACCTCCCCCACCAGTGGGGTGAGGAGAGTGACCTCCCCCACCAGTGAGGTGAGGAGAGTGACCTCCCCATCAGTGAGGTGAGGAGTGACCTCCCCCACCAGTGAGGCGAGAATGACTTCCCCCACCAGTGAGGTGAGAGTGACCTCACCCACCAGTGAGGTGAGGAAAGTGACCTCCCACATCAGTGAGGCGAGGAGAGTGACTTCCCCCCACAAGTGAGGTGAGGAGAGTGACCTCCCCACCAGTGAGGTGAGGAGAGTGACCTCCCCCCACCAGTGAGGTGAGGACAGTCACCTCCTCCCCACCAGTGAGATGAGGACAATGACCTCCCCCACCGGTGAGGCGAGAACAGTGACAACCTCCCCACCAGTGAGGTGAGAACAGTGACCTCCTCCCCACCAGTGAGGTGAGGACAGTGACCTCGTCCCCACCAGTGAGGTGAGGACAGTGACCTTCTCCTCACCAGTAAGGTGAGGACAATCACATCCTTCCCACCAGAGAGGTGAGAACAGTCACCTCCTCCCCACCAGTGAGGTGAGGACAGTTACTTCCTTTTCCCCACCAGTGAGGTGAGGCCATTGACCTAGTGAGGAGGCGTTCCACGCCCACATGTCACTTGCGAGCCGTAGTGGCTACGCTCTATAAAAAGCGTGGTGTGTGTGCACTTGGGCTGATGTGAGGAGGGTCATACCAAGACCAGTGCGTAGTGGATACTATCGGTGTGGTGACTACTTGATGCCCTTTGTTAACGTAGGAGAGAGGCAGGAAGTGATGAGAAGGGAAGGTGAGCTAGCAAGTGATCATACTTTCCCTTTGAATAAGACACACGTGCAACACTTGGGTATTACTATCCGTACTAATAAATTATTACATTCATGAGGGGAAACGCTAAACTCGGAGGGGTGACACAGCACCTAAGAGAGAGGGAAGAAGCAAGGCAGTCAGGATCGATTCAAGGAATTGAGCACAAGTTCATTTTCTTAAATGAGGATCGTAGCACCAGTATCAAGGAACATCCCATAGGTGGTTGGATTCATTAAGCCACTGATTGGTGTAACGTCTCCACAATAAAGATACCCAAGTGTTGCACATATGTCCTCGTCATCTACTTGTCGGTTTTGCATACCATTTGTATATAGTATTACTCCTCCTTACATCCATGCATGGATCCAGCTATAGGATCAAGAGCCTCAACTCTCACACACAGTACGATGTTCAAATGATTTTCCGTTCATTACTGATACGTGACTGCAAACTACATTATGAAGGTAACCCCTTTCATGACCATCTGAAATGTTATTAATGCAATATAAATCGAAGAAACTGAGTTACTCACGGGATGTCGTATTTTATCAATGATGGCAGCGTCAATAATCCCGAACTCTGTTCTTCCCTGGCTGCTTCCTATCTTTCCATCGGGGCTGTGCCTCCTCTCCTCCAGAGTTGGCAAAACCACATCGTTGCTATACTCGTGGTCGTCGTTATCGCCGTTTATATCGTCGTCCCTTTTGTGCTCGTTATTTTCGAGCTTGCCGTTTTCGATTTCATTATTTTTGTCGCCGCTTTCACTTTCCTTGTGGTCGACGACGTTCTGTTGCTCATCATCCCCGTCATTCTGTTGGTCGTCAATGCCATCGTTTTGTTGGTTATTACTGGTGTTCTGTTGGTCATCGGTGCCGTCGTTCTGTTGGTCGTTATCACCGGTGTGTTGGTCGTTGCCGCCGTCGTTTTTGTGGTCATCGTTTTCAGCCTCACTCTTTACTTCCTTGGCACTTGGGCTCACACACTCGAGGAGCTCATCAAGCATTTCCCGCGACCGAGAACTCAGATAGTTTATGTAGCTATTAAACTTCTCTTCTCCAACTAGACTTCGAAGCTGCCTGAATGTCGGTAGAGCTGCGGGCTTCATGTCGGAGTCTTGGAGCTTCGTATAGAGGGACTGAGCCAAGAGAGAAAAGTCGACTTCGTATAAATCTTTCGTCAAGAGGTGAATTATGTTCAGTGTGGCCATTTTGCTAACATTCTTCTTCTTGTGGTTGATGCCGTAGGTAACCAGATCTTCAACAAGCCCTTCTTTATCCTTGCTTACGGAGGCGTAAGCTTTAAGAAGCTTAACGTTTGACTTCTGGAGTCGAGCCCGACTGTCTCCCAGGTTAGGTATGAGGTTAGGAAGCACGATAGCCATGCAGCTGTCCACGTCGCTCTTGAGGTATGGAAGTAGGTCAAGGATGAGGAGTGTAGTCTCATTGCGGATCTCCCACATGTCGTCCGCCAATAGTTTGTACAGTTCTTCGAAAAAGCCAAGTTTGTTGAAGTTTGCAGGAATTGTATTATGTTTTTTTAATTCCCCTTTTAACGAGATAATGAATTGGATCTTATTTCTTGGAAGACTTGGTGTAATGGGTTCCGGCGTAAGAGAATATTGCGACAGCCGGTTTATAGTTTCCTCTGGGAAGGGACTTTCATCATCACTATTCCTGGAAACGGCCATCGGGGATTCGAGATCATCTGATTGAGGAGCCTGAGGCGAGACACTGCTGGGGGACAGAGAACCCGAGACCGATGACTCCACAGATCCCTTGACAGGTGATACACGACCAACGGCTGGGGCCGAATGTCTGGAAGAGTTTTCACAGTGGTTGTCAACATCTCTCTTTTCCTTAGCAGACTTTGCACCGGATCTGGCCAACATGGTGGCCGGGAAGTGAGAGCCTGCTGCCACTAGCGAGGACGCCTGGGGAAAAGTATGTGATACTAGAGGCGCTTGGGACGAGACGTCCAGAACGTCACTAGGCTGTGGCATGTTCTCAATAGTCGCCATCTTTATGACGTCTTGCTGCGACGGATATTACAGAGCACTCTTGTAAATCAGATCGCCTTTGGAGATCATGTCACGCCACGCCACGCCATGGGGTGGCAACACCTGTCTGCTCATTCTGGTTGAAAAGGCCATGCGATAACAACACAATAATATTTATCCAAGTCTTTGTCAATAGTTTTTTACTGTGATGTTCTGTATATTATACTAGGGCGAAGCTCAAGTGGAGTCACAGTAGAGTGTGATAGGGTGGAGAACAGGGTGTGGGTGACTGCCCTCCTCCCCACCCAGCTCCTGGGCTCGTCTGTTGAAGCCTCCTCCCCTTCCAGCTCCTGACCCATCCTCACACTGTAAAATAAAAAATAATGTATTAATTGATGGACACACAACAAGGATCAAGTAATCCACACTCCACACATGAAACTCAATGAACAAATTTAATCAGAGGCATATAAAAATTAAAGCCAATGACTTCGTATTTTTTTATTAGCAACACAAAAGGAAAAAATCAAAGCTATTACATGAGAAATTCATAACGAAAAACCTAAGAGAAAGAGACAGATGGGTTGACTGTATATCCTCAGCTTACAAGGCCTACGACTTAGTGTCTGGCAGAAGAATAACAGAGTGGAGAAGCAAGCTTGCGAGACAACTAGGCTGCTAACTTAGATAAAAGAATACATAAAACAGTCAACAGTGAGAAACGAAACCAAGATGTGCGAGATATGATAACGGAGTCCTCCAAGGCTTAGTTCTAAGTTCCATATTTCTGGTATAAATGACGTAATGCGGCGGATAGCCTTTTGCGTGCTATTCGCAATGACGTAAAGCTAGAGAGAATCCAAATATGAGATGACTGCAAGAAACTACAGCACGAGAGAGGCGGTAGAAGTGATATTTTTTAGTTAGTATCACTAAATACACCGTAATGCTGAGATATATTTAGTGGTGGTCTGATGCTTTTTTCAAGTGGACATTTTTGCCTTGGGGCAAAAGCGGCCGTTCTAATTTATTTGTACAGCAATGCCCATTTTTTTACGGTTCAGTGGGCAATGGGGAAACAAATCTTACCCATGTTTCAAGCTCGGAACCCTGTGGCTGTGAACGGAATACTTGAACCAGTGAGCAATGTCCCTCTCACTGGCAAACAAAATTATTACTAAAGTACACCTTAACAATAATTTTGTTTGTTGTTGCTTTTGCTCCACAAATGAAAACTAATTTCGTTGGTAACAATGAGCGTCCATATTTTTTAACCCCAATATTCAAACAGTAATTACATTAACATCGACACATTTCTTGCTGCAGCAATACGACCATTTATCACGGTGAAGTAGACTTTCACCTTCCCCACACTAATTAACTTTAACACAAGAAAGAAGTAGCTTTCCGTTATGTCGATTTATCATTATTGTGAAAAAGTGAAGACAAATGCAGTATAATGTAATCCTTGACTGACAACATTTCTCCCACACAGTGGGCTTTATAAAGTCACAAACAGATATTTGTGACTTTATAGTCACAAATACCTGTGATTTTAAAGTCTGTGGCTTTATAAAGCCCACTATATGTGCGAAACGTTGTCAATAAAGGATCACATTATAATGCATTGTGTCTACCTTTCCATCGTGTCTGTATTTTATACCATCTATGTCCATCTTTACCGGTGTTATCAAGAACATTATTCTATCTGCAATACTTACTATATGGGATTACAATAGATTATTCTAAAATTGGGGCATACAAATTTTTACCTATTTTATGCACGATTACTATTATAATCAAGGGTGAAGCACTAAACCTTTAGGAGTCACACAGCGCCTGCTGGAGGAAAATTGATGAGGCTCAATAATATATTTTATAACATTAATGGTATACACTACCGACAAGTTGAAGAAGACACGTGCAACAACTGGGTATTATTTTTTATGTAGACGTTTCGCCAACTAGAGGTTTTATCAGTACAATACAGGGACAAAAACAGAAAGAACAAAATGGCACAATGCCGTGACCAGGACAATACACAAATAACCCGCACATAGGGTATGGGGTGCATAATAAACATATTAAACTAATATAGGAGAGAGGAGCTTACGACGACGTGTCAGTCCGACTTGGACCATTTACAAAGTCACACCAACAGAAAAGATGGTGGGTATAAGGTTTGTCAAGAAACAGGACATACAAGTGTTTCATGACGCAGGTGTTAAGTCATATGATGACCCGCAGCTGCAACTGTTGCTCACCTGACCGACGTTTTCCGCTGGCTTACCCGTCCACCCCTTTAAAAAAATATGTTTATAATTATAACCATTTCTATTATATATAACAAAAGAGTGAGGAATCCAGTTATATATATGCGAGAGGGATAAGAATGGGAACAGAGGACGAAGAGGAGGTAATTAGTCCCAGGCTAGAAGCAGGTGCTCAGTACCGTTGTCTTTAAGAATCCGAAGCATATCAATCAAGTTTATTCTCTATAAGGATTACAATGCGGGGTTTACAGATTTTGGTTATTGTGTGGTTTACCTGTAATAAAATACTAATTACAGAGTGAGCTTGCATGGGTATATTTCTATGTTGACACATCATTAAAGAGTTATTTATGCACAGGCAAATGATATACCTGGAGTTTACCTAGAGAGTTCCGGGGGTCAACGCCCCCGCGGCCCGGTCTGTGACCAGGCCTCCTGGTGGATCTGACCCTGATCAACCAGGCTGTTACTGCTGGCTGCACGCAAGCCAACGTATGAGCCACAGCCCGGCTGGTCAGGAACCGACTTTAGGTGCTTGTCCAGTGCCAGCTTGAATACTGCCAGGGGTCTGTTGGTAATCCCCCTTATGTGTGCTGGGAGGCAGTTGAACAGTCTCGGGCCCCTGACACTTATTGTATGGTCTCTTAACATGCTAGTGACACCCCTGCTTTTCATTGGGGGGATGGTGCATCGTCTGCCAAGTCTTTTGCTTTAGTTGTGAGTGATTTTCGTGTGCAAGTTCGGTACTAGTCCCTCTAGGATTTTCCAGGTGTATATAATCATGTATCTCTCCCTCCTGCGTTCCAGGGAATACAGGTTTAGGAACCTCAAGCGCTCCCAGTAATTGAGGTGTTTTATCTCCGTTATGCGCGCCGTGAAGGTTCTCTGTACATTTTCTAGGTCAGCAATTTCACCTGCCCTGAAAGGTGCTGTTAGTGTGCAGCAATATTCCAGCCTAGATAGAACAAGTGACCTGAAGAGTGTCATCATGGGCTTGGCATCGCTAGTTTTGAAGGTTCTCATTATCCATCCTGTCATTTTTCTAGCAGCTGCGATTGTTACAATGTTATGGTCCTTGAAGGTGAGATCCTCCGACATGATCACTCCCAGGTCTTTGACGTTGGTTTTTCGCTCTATTTTGTGGCCGGAATTTGTTTTATACTCTGGTGAAGTTTTAATTTCTTCGTGTTTACCATATCGGAGTAATTGAAATTTCTCATCGTTGAACTTCATATTGTTTTCTGCAGCCCATTGAAAGATTTGGTTGATGTCCGCCTGGAGCCTTGCAGTGTCTGCAAAGGAAGACACGGTGTTGTGGCTGACATCCTTGTCTATGTCAGATATGAGGATGAGAAACAAGATGGGAGCGAGTACTGTGCCTTATGGAACAGAGCTTTTCACCGTAGCCGCCTCAGACTTTACTCTGTTGACTACTACTCTTTGTGTAGGAGAAATTAGCAAATATAATACTTAGATTTTGGATGGAATGCAATCTTGAGAGAGGACGCGCCTTATTTTCATCCATATACTCACAATATTAGTCGACATTGAAGCCTAGCAGCAGGTCTGGAGTTTCTTACACACTTTGCAATTTAACCTAGCTTGTGGACGCGACCCACAACGGTCGACTAACACCCAGGTACTACCTGCTTAATGCTGGGTGAACCGGGAAGGTGTTAGGAGACTTGTTCATGAGTCTTACTTAACATGTCAACAACCTCGCTAACCAAGGCTGCCAACGTTACAAACACCAACCGTGGCAAGTGACAACCACTGCGAGGATACCAACCACCACAGGGCTACCAACCACCACAGGGCTACCAACTACCACAGGGCTACCAACCACCACAGAGCTACCAACCACAACAGGGCTTCCAACCACCACAGGGCTACCAGCCACCACAGGGCTACCAACCACAACAGGGCTTCAATCACCACAGGGCTTCCAACCACCATAAGGCTACCAACCACCACAGGGCTTCCAACCACCACAGGGCTACCAACCATCACAGGGCTACCAACCATCACAGGGCTTCCAATCACCACAGGGCTACCAACCATCACAGGGCTTCCAACCACAACAGGGCTACCAACCAACCACCACAGGGCTACCAACCACCACAGGGCTACCAACCAACCACCACAGGGCTTCCAACCACCACAGGACTACCAACCATCACAGGGCTTCTAATCACCACAGGGCTACCAACCATCACAGGGCTTCCAACCACCACAGGGCTGTAATAAAGTTGGTAGAATTACCGACAATATGTAAAGTAAAAGGACACAAGTGCAACTAATGTGACATTTATTGTGGCAACGTTTCGCTCGCCAGGAGCTTTATCAAGCTTGATAAAGCTCCTGGAGAGCGAAACGTTGCCACAATAAATGTCACATTAGTTGCACTTGTGTCCTTTTACTTTACACCACAGGGCTACCAACCAACCACCACAGGTCTACCAACCACCACAGGGCTACCAACCAACCACCACAGGGCTACTAACCACCACAGGGCTACCAACCACAACAGGGCTTCAATCACCACAGGGCTTCCAACCACCACAAGGCTACCAACCACCACAGGGCTTCCAACCACCACAGGGCTTCAATCACCACAGGGCTTCTAACCACCACAAGGCTACCAGCCACCACAGAGCTTCCAACCACCACAGGGCTTCCAACCACCACAGGGCCACCAACCATCACAGGGCTTCCAACCACCACAAGGCTACCAACCACCACAGGGCTTCCTATCATCACAGGGCTTCCAATCACCACAGGGCTACCAACCATCACAGGGCTTCCAACCACCACAGGGCTACCAACCAACCACCACAGGGCTACCAACCACCACAGGGCTACTAATCACCACACGGTTACCAACCACCACAGGGTTACCAACCACCACAGGGCTACCAACCACCACAGGGCTACTAATCACCACACGGTTACCAACCACCACAGGGCTATCAACCACCACAGGGCTACCAACCACCACAGGGCTAATAATCACCACACGGTTACTAATCACCACAAGGCTACCAACCACTACAGGGCTATCAACCACTGCAGGAATACCAACCACCATTGGAA